ATTATCCTGTCCGTCGCGCCCATGCCCCCGCCGTCGGCCCCCCCCCTCCCCTCCCCTCCCCCCCCCCCCTCCTGCCCCCCCCCCCCCCCCCCCCCCCCCGGTTCGCTTGTCCAGGCCTGCCCATTTTTCAGCAATCATCCTTCCCCTTTACCTGAACATCCTTTATGGATGACTCCTAATCATTATATACAGTTTCCGCAGAATCCTTTTTTGGTCTTGTGTCTTTGAACTTCATTTTTCTTGCATTATTTTCTTTATGAATTTCTTATCATCTAGTAAAAAAAGAAAATCTTGTTTCAATCGGTGTTTACTAAAGTATGTATTTTTCTATTTGAATTCTTGAATGGAAACAAATTGAGCAAAAAAAACAACCTTGTTGAATAATATCTTTTTAGTAAGTGTTACTGATGCAGAAGGATTTTGTTGATCGGCTTGATCAAACTGATTTAACATAACAATTTTTGGTATTCTATATTGAATAATCATATCCCAAAAATCTTCACATGTATTCATCAATGGACTTTGACAAGCAATATATTGTTTGAGACTATTTACACCCTATAAAAACGTTCATAGTCTGCGTTATTTATTTTGTTGTTTTTTTTTGTAATGATTAGATATAATTTAATATTACTCGAATTTCATTTGCATTAATATAATCATGTTTATGATGACTACGATTTAAATGAACAGCAGTTACTTCCCCTTTTAACATATGTATGTTTAGAATGTTCAAAAACAAATGATAATAATTTACATACATGGACCTCGACTTGAAATATCCGTATATCGATCAAAACGTGAAGACTGCATCGATTGATTAGATTGTGGAGCTACATTTTGTAATACCTATCAATAATAATATCATTAATTGATCTTTTTTTGTTCTTATTTCTAGACAAGTTTAAAAAAAATGATAACCAACTTGAAATTCATCATTTATCACTTTTTTGTCTTCATCTGTTAAATTAATATATTGAATTAAAGATTTCGGTCTAAAATATAAATAATAAATCGAAGAAAATTTTAATTTAATTCATGTCTAACTTCATTTTTTGAAAATTATACACATATGATGTTGATACGATGCTATGAAAGAAATATTTCAGTTGAGAAAAAACACAAAACACAGCGATCTATTTTAACTAATAATTCTTGTTTTTTACTTACGTTTGTAAAACATCAGTGGTTAAATTAATATTATCTATTCTAAAAGAAAAAAACAAAAAGTGATAAATTTCAAAATGAAGAAAATAATATTTTACTCGTTTTGTTGTCCAATACAACATCTTCTTAGTCCATCTCGTTTCCATATGATTAAACCAATACTAAGAATCAAAACAGCCAAAATAGGAAATACAGAAATCCATGCTTTCGATGACGATGATGCTGGTATTAACCATGATGCTGGTGTTGACGATGATGGCGAAGGTTTGTCTTTAACGAATCAGACTAATATATCATCAAATATTAATAAATATTTCTTACTAACTTTTTGTTTGAAATGATCTTGAAAGTACATAAGTGCAATTAACATTCGTACAACCGCCAACAATTATTCTATACATAATTATTTATAAAAACAAAATATAAAATAAATAGATGAATAAATGTACTTATAAATTGTATTTGGTTTGAGTTTACCATTGCATGGAATCGAAAAATCATTAATCCACCAACAGTATGATTCATTACCAATTATTATACGAAATTTATTATCATATCTTTGCATTCTACTAACTGAAAAATAAATACAGATAGTTTCTAATATATCATTTATATCAATACATACAGTTGTTTACTAATGAATTGAGATCAATAATTTGAGCTAAGTAATCGAGTGAAGGATTTTGCCAAGCTTCATCATAGGTGCCAACAACATATGGATAAGGTTCAATATTGCTTTGATCTATCAAATTCGGAAAGAAATATTTTTATTTTGATCGTAGTGAAAAATGCTTTTCACCTTGACGTATGTAGATTAGATAACGCAAAACAATACCATAATCATTAGAAAATAATGATCGATCAATCTCAATTACATATTGTTCAGCTGTTGATGCATCATCATTATCTTGTGGAACAACTTTCGTCTGAATTTCATAATCAGTTGGTCTTGGTGGTGCTGTAAAGACGAAATAAAAACTGCAACAAAGAATAAAATATATTTACCTTCTTGGAGTGTTTTGACAAAAATTAGATCAGATAAAATTTGATAATTTGAATTGAGTCGAATGGACAATTCATAACTAAATCGAAATATATATTTTTTGAAGAGTAAAAACAAAATATATTAAAAAAAATCCACTGACATGCTATTAGGTAATAGATCAGTACAATTATACGAAAATGTTGAGTTATCAATATTTAAAATTTGAGTTTGATTTATAAATAAATCAAATGATTGAATATATGCAAATTCATTTACTGTCCAACTGATCAATATCCATCGTGATCCTTTGTCATACGAAAATATGTTTGGTGTAGGCGGAACTTCATTAAATTATTATTCACAAGTTATTATTATCAATAAATATACTTACAAAATGTCCATCGGTATTCATTTGAAAGTACATTTATATAATTATATTTTTTTGTTACAAAATAACATTTATAATTACATCCGCGAGTCCCAAAGAAATACAAATATGTTGAACAAACAGCCGTTGCTACTGTTGAATTTGAACACCAATGTGTTTGAGTGCCATCAGCGATACATTTTAACTCAATAGAACTAAAATCACTTTGTGGAATTACATAGAAACTAATATAAGTTGTATTGAAGTTATTCAATCCATCATATAATATTGGTTTAAGACCTTAAAAAAAAAAATAAAACAGATAATTTTACTAAACATGTTCGATTACTCACTACTATTGAAATTATATTCATCAGATATTCTATCTGTAAAAGTCTCTTTCATAGTCGTTGCTTGACAACTATATTTAGTTCCTCGTAACATTGGAGATATCGAAATGAAAGTACAATGAGAACAATTTCCAGTTGTATTCATCAAGTATATATTATTATATAAACAATATTGATCTAATGCATAGCAACTAATAGAAATTTGATGATAAGATCCATATGGACGATCAAAATAGATAAATGTTTTATTCTTATCTATTGAATCTTCTACAAAAATTAAATTTTTTACTTTATCAAGATCTAAAATAATAATAAATACAAGAGAAAATTAAAATTAGGCTTTTTTTTACCTGTTTTGTAAATTTCATTGAGAGTTTCAATTTGAAAAATTTTATCATATTCATCGTCTGTCTTATCGGCTATTCGAATAGGTAATCGAACTAATGATGCATTATAAATTGCACCTGGTTCAAGATTATAACATGTATAAGTACAATTATTTGAAAGAGTATTATTTGATAGATCATATTCGTGACAACGAAAAACAAGATATTTTATATCAGATATATCAAGACAATTAGGTATCAAAATTGATGCTGTTCTTTGCGCTCCATCAAAAGTTATTCTGATAGATGTATAAATATAAAGAGGTAACGGTTCTAACGTGATAGTAAATGTCGCATTAAGGATAATTTGATTATAAACATACAGTTGAATCACGCTGAACGTCCAATCTCGACCAGCATTGTTTTGAATATTGTTGCATGTTACACTTATTATTCTAGTGCTTGAATAGTATCCATTTATGTAACAATAAGTTGCTTGTGTTTCATTGAAAAACACAGATAAGTCGTATGGATTTGTCAAAGAACAATTATAAGTAATAAAAGCTGCAAATGAATACGATGTACGAGAAGTGACATTGATTCTATTTATCATATCTATGCTACACACTTCATCTAATGAAAACACAAAAATTAGATCGATTATTTGAATAAAAAACTGGATGTATTCTCAATTAGCAATCCAACTACTCATAACTGTAGAAAATATTTCATTGCTTCTTTGAGATTTGTTTTCAAGTACTGACTGAGAATTGAATTAGATGTAAAACCTATAAGAAAATGAATCATTTCAATACCTGCAGAACGTAAATTGGTAGAATTTTGCAATGGTTCTGTTTTTCTTCCATTGGTATTTGTTAGAATCTGAATATGAAATATTTTTCTTTTGTAATCAACATCTTATTATAGTAAGATAATGCCTTACTAAGATCAACATGAAGAGTAAATTGCATAATGTAGAATTGATCATAGACATTAGAAAGTTATTTGTAGTATTTTTAAAAAGTCTTGTAAAATATGAGACAAGTTTATTAACTTTTATATATTTACCAGAAATCTTTGTTTTATTTGTCTTTATTTTTTATTTCATTCTTGAAGAAAATAAAAATAGGAAACAGTAAAAGGAAGAGAAGACTGTTTCGAGTCGTAAAAAGGCTGAAGTTAATAACAATAAAAAAAATATATGAGAACGATAAAAATAAGAACTGTTGAATATTGACATAGGTAGTTTCTTTTCGTACGAAACTCATTTGAAAAAAAGTCATGATTGTAACTTCATCTTTCTTGTTGTCTTTTTATCAGATTGTCATGCACGTCTGACGAAGTATATTTTTAATCATAATAAAACAATAAACCGCAGTACCTATATGATAAATGTCTGTTCTAATTATTTTTCTTTCTTATATTCGAGATTAGTGTTTTTCGATAAACTACTTGAGTTTTTTTCAAGATAAACTGCCATGAAAACTTTAAATCCACAAGAAATGATGATAAATATTTAACATATTCGAATGCATGTGTATAGTCATCTAAAGATTAATAAGCAGTACCAATAGTGTTGTAACTTTTTTTGCGGATACCAGCATTATTTATTTTTAATATTCGTATTTTGATTTCAATTGATAATCATCGTTAAGATTTGGCATACTTCAAAGTATATAATAACAGTATTGTTTTTCAGTATACGAGCGAGGCCGAAGAAATTTATTTCACCCTTAACATTCAAGCAGGTCGTAAAAAGTCAGTGAGGAATGCGCTGAGTGGTAGAAACTTGATATAGATTTTTTTTTTCGTTCTGTTTGATCTTCGAGTCCATCGAAAACGAAGCCTTCAGAATTATCTTCGAGAAATTTGAAAGTCATCGAATTATCAAGTAGTCGAAATAATAAGGCATATTGAAGAGTTATTTACGACGGTTCAATGTGATTTCGATCTCTTAAAGCTTCTTCAAGATGCCATCGTCATATGAGAGAAAGATGGCGACAAAAAGATTTTTATTTTTCAATTTAATTTTGATCAATGAAAACTTTTTTTAAATTCTTTTTTTCAACAATTCTACACTTTCGATTTATTACTTCATCCAACAAACTACCCTGTATTGTAGAGGTAAACATGAGTTTATGGTTTTCAGAAAAATATTTAATATGCGTCAATAAAATATAATATGAATATATATGTGGGGTGTGGGTGTGTGTCGGTTTGGTAAGGTGCGGGGAATTCGAAAAGTTCACGCATGATTGGATATTTTTGAAATGTACATCATTGGATAGAGTTCGAGGAGTAGATTCCGAATATCTACTTGAAATCGAATTTTGATCAAGTTTTGGCTGAGAAATCTTGAAAATACTAAGCACCAGTCAAAACGTGAATTTTTCTAGAAAACTGAAGATTTCACCCTGAAAATTTGTTCGAAACTCAACTCTAATTACATTTTCGGATTTAGCATGAAAAACTGAGTATATTCAAGTGATCGAGAGGTAGGTTTCCTTAAAACCTTGAATTAAGGAATTTTTCTAACAGAAGAAGGACGAATGATAACACCTCTCCGCCCCAAACCCTTCAAGTCTTTTGTTTTAAGAGCTTTCTTGGACTATTATACATCATTCGGACCGCCAATCGAAGGCGAAAAAGTTACGCATGCGCAAAAAATAAAAGTGTTTCCTCGTTGAGAAAAGTTAACTTTACTGAAATAAAGTGTTATACTCTATATACATATTTTACGTTTTCTTATAAAATCAATCGAAACTTCGTTCTATCATCAATCTCCTCCACATCCATTTCACTTGATTCTTCTTGAACCCATCGGTAAGAGGCAGCGACACTAGTCTGAGAT